AAAACGTAGTCTTTATGTTTATGCTACTGAGCTATGAATATTGATATGCTTGCTGGTCCTAAATTAGATTGTGATCTGCTGTGTTTGGACATTGAGTTTGTGTGGACTTGACTTGGATTGATTGCTTAAGAGGTAAGCTTTCGTGTCCTCGGTTTAGCCATGTTGTGGTTCCACCATGTCCCATGGGGGTATGGTTATATGCATGATGTGTTACATGCTTTGGATATTTGAAATGCTGTTGAGCTTAATGTGTAATGGCTTTTAATATGCATGTGTTGTTCCATCTTGACGGTAAGCCTGAGTATGTGGCGTCATACAAGACGGTGATTCGGGGTGGATGCAAGTGGCGTCTTGTGTAACACCCCGTATATATCCGGCAATGTTATCATAATATCGTATTAAGCTGCGCTTAATTAAAAATGCGGAATTACTTTTTCTTTTCAATTATGATGCCATTAACATTACCAGCTTGCTTAATAATCAATTAATAAAACATCGCCTGTATGTAAATGCACTAAAACAGCTAACTGAAATACCTCATAACATAGATAATATAATTGTGGCTCTAGTCACGGAACTACAACAATGTAGACCGGACCATCTAACAGTTTATACAACTCCAAACTACAAGTACTAACATATAGTGTCATGGACAATCCCCATACTCACTCAAATAAGGCAACATGCCCAACATCAGTCTCAACAACAACATATCATAAATAGCGGAAAACATAAACAGCATCCAAATCCAGTCATGCTAACATAAAGCAGTAAAACATAATCAGCTAAGCTCCGGCCTCCTGCCGCCTGAGGCATCAGTACCCATACTACCTGATCCTGAAATAAGCATTCCCCAAACGTGGGGTAAGATCTCTAATCTAGAAATCTCAGTAAGTCAGTGAGTCCTCAAGGATCTTCCACCCCAAGCTCACTTACATGTGCAATATAAGTTCAAAGCAGTTTATCATTTATCATTTCAAAAACAATGCAATGCAGCAGATAATCATGTCATGTGTGTCAATACTAATCTACTGGCCAGAGACAGTGCAGGTATACGTCTATCACCTACACACCGTGCAAGTACCACTTGCATTCACCCCGGTACACCGTCTTGTATGGCGCTACATACTCAGGCTTCCCGTCAAGATGAAACAACACATGCATATTAAAAGCCATTACATGTAAAGTTCAATCAACATATCAAATATCCAAAAGCATGTACACAACATGCATAAACCATACCCCCATGGGACATGGTGGAACCACAACATGGCTAAACCGAGGACACGAAAGCTTACCTTGCAAGCTAACTCCAAAAGCCAAGAGTCCACAGCTCAAAGTCCAACACAACAGATTCACAATCTGTTATGGACCAACAATACATCAACAACATGCACCACAAGCATACAATATTGAGACAACGCCTTTTCATTACGTTTTCAAGTCTTAAAGCTTCTAACAAAGCCACAAGCCCTTAATCCCATGATTCTGGCTTAGTCCATTAAATACAGAAGTTCAACTTCATCAATCTAGGGTCCACAAACCCCCAATAGCCTACTGTACACACAGCACAACTATTGTTCTACGAAATCCCAGAATATCCGGATATTCCTCGGGACCATATCCGGATATGCAATATCCGGATATCTCACTGGACATATCCGGATATGCAATATGCGGATATCTCACTGGACATATCCGGATATGCAATATCCGGATATCCAGAATCCCATATCCGGATATCTAGTATCCAGATATCCCAAAACCCCATATCCGAATACACATATCCGGATATCATATCCGGATATCCCATATCCGGATATTCCACGGGCCGATATCCGGATATTTCACGACAGAATGCAGTTTCTGCATTTTCGTGAAGATATCCTTCCAAGGTTGGGTTTTTACCGATTTTAAACACCTAAACATGCATTTCTAGGTGTGTTCAACATTACCCCACAACAAGTTATCATCTTTTGACCTTAACATGCATCAAGCTTTCATTTTTAAGCATTAAACTCAAGATCAAAGGTTGGTATACTTACCAAAGGCTTAAAACAGAGAAGGAGATGCTCTTGGAGCTCAACACAGCCCCTCAAGTCTGACTCAAGAAAGATGCACGAAAATGGCTTCACAAGGGTTGGTTCTTCTCATCAAAGGTCACCACTTGGACCTCCAAAATGCCATAACTATGGCTTTCAGCAACCACACCACCCAAAACCAGCACACTCACCCACACACAGAGGATGGAAACTCAGAATACGCCCTCACACTTCCTCACCATGCATGTTCTTAAGTGTAAACAAGCTCAAAGAGGGAAGAAATCAAGTAAAGGTGACAACTTGAGTTCAAAAATGGTGAAAGGAGGCAATGGAACAGTAAACCACCCTCAGCCCACCAAGTGCCTCACGTAGGAATTCTGGTATGCCTAGGGTTATGTGCTAAAATGCATATATATAGCCACTTAGCCATAAAAGACATAGTATTAACTTTAATTTCTACGCTTAGCATTTTAATCCCAAACTTTGGATTATGAAACTACATAATTTTCTAAGATTTATCATATTTTTCTTATAATTTTATGAGCACTTTTCCTGTACGCGCTTTTCCAAGCCAGTACTGGTTTCCAGCACCAGTTCTCATTATCTGGACTTGAAACTCGTTTTACAAGTCCTACATATTATTCTAGTAATTATCATGCACTTACATTAATTTTCCGGGATACTTTTTCGGCACGCATTTATACCGACTAGCAGAACCGGTACCTGCACTTTTCTTCCGAAAAGCGACTTTCAGCATTATTACTCACTAACTATAATTATTAAAGCCTCATAATAATTATTAAAGTCAATTATGGAATCATTTCCTATTTTCTCGTAATTTATTAATTAAATACCTTAATTAACGGTGCGGGTTCTTACATCTTGCACTATGTGTGGGTATTTGGCGTATATAAATCCTGCATTTCTCTGGCCAGTAGAATAGAATTGACACACATGACATGATTATCTGCTGCATTGCACTATTTTAGAACTGATGATGATAAACTGCTTTTGAACTTATATTGCACATGTAAGTCAGCTTGGGGTGGAAGATCCTTGAGGACCCCATGCCTTACTGAGATTTCTTGTTTAGAGATCTCACCCCACGTTTGGGGAATGCTTATTTCAGGTTCAGGTAGTATGGGGACTGATGTCTCTCGCGGCAGGAGGCCAGAGCTTAGTTGATGATTATTGTTGTTATATGTTATATGCTGGCATGGCTGGATTGGATGCTGTTTATGTTTTCCGCCTTTATCTTTATGTTGTTATTGAGTTGTGACTTATGTGGGCTTTGTTGCCTTATTTGGGGTGAGTGATAAACCCCTAGTTCATCAGGTTTTTCAGCATGAATTAGTATCAATTTGTGTGATTAATTGGATGAAAAAAAGGTTAATGTCCTGGAATTCCCTCAAGTACAAGTTCTGAAAGTTTTGTTGAAAAATTAGACTGTCTAGTAGGGAAATGAAGCTTAAGGAGAAGCAGAAAGAAAGAAGAAGATTCTGGAGAAAGGGAGAATGCCTAAGTGTTGAGCGCTTAAACGTCCACACAGAATGTTTTAGCGCGCTGCTGCAAACGAAGGACAAAAGTTGCTGGTGCTGAGCGCTAAAACATTCACACAGAACGTTTTAGCGCGCTGCTGCAATCTGAGGACAAAAGTTGCTGGTCTTGGGCGCTAAAACTTCCTGATCAAACGTTTTAGCGCCCTGCTGTTGGAAAAAGACTCTGGTCTCGAATGCTAAAACGTCCAAACCAAGTGTTTTAGCGTTGGAGTCAGTTGGAAGCAGTTGAGCATTCACCAGACATGGACGCTAAAACGTTCAACTGTTCACGTTTTAGCGCCCAAGTTAGTTAAAAGCAGTTGGGCATCCGTCAAACATGGACGCTAAAACGCCCATTCATGAACGTTTTAGCGCCCATGTTAGTTTTCAGTTATAATTTGTAACACTATAAAAGGCAAGGGCCTTCACATTTGTTATATCTCTGATTCTATCTCTCTCTCTAATATCAGTTCCTCTGATCTGACTTCTCTTCTCTCTCTTACTTTCCAAATTCTTTAGGACTTAGTTCTTGTATTAGTTAGTTTCCTATGTAATTGCACTTGAAGATTGAAGACTTACTATCATGACAATGGAGTTTGATCTTTCTTCTTCCTTTGTTTATATTTCAATTATGTCTGAGTAAAGTTCTTTGTAGTTTGATTCAATGGAACTCAAGTTTGAATTTATAAATGGTTAATTAGATGTCTTGTTTATTTATTATGTGATTTGTATGAAGTTGTCTTGATTAATTCTTCATGTTAAGGAGTAGTGTAGAACAGACATGTTTACACTGTTTCTATATTTGACAACTTCATCATCAGTGTTCTAGTAGTCAAGACATTGATGCTAGCATTTCTGATGTGATCTTAAGACCTTAGTAATTAATGCATGTATTAAGAAAGGAATCACCAAGAGATTGGGGTTTCTAATTAATGTGTCTTTCAAGGTAGTAAGACATTACATCTTGATGATAAGAAAAAGGTTGATCAACATTACATAGTAGATATTCATCATGGAAATTGGTTCATCCATAAATTCATTCTTGAGGGAAATTGACATCTGACTACTTGTTTTAAATTATATTCACACTTTATTTGTTTATCAATTCTTTAATTTTATTCAAATTTAATTTCTGGTGACAAGAAATAAATGCAATTCATAATCTTTTGGTTGATTCAACTTAACAATATTTGGTTAGTCAGTGCTTGACACAATTCCTCGTGGGAACAATCTTTACTCACCATTTTATTACCTCTTTGACTAGTACACTTGCTAATCCGACAACAAGTTTTTGGCGCCGTTGCCGGGGAATTTGTTTTTCAACATTGACAGACACCATTAGTTGTTAAGATTGAATCTTTCATTTTCAGTATTTTATATTTTTGTTGTATGAATTTTTGTTCCATTTTAATTCTGGTGTATGCAAGGTACTTTTGATTCAACTTCTTTGTTGTTTGACCCAGAGTTAGAAAGGACAATTAGAAGGAACAGAAGGGCAGCCAGAAGAAGGCAATTACTGGAAAGGGAGGAACCAAGTGGTGAACCAAGTACTACAGTACAAGAAGAGAATATGGCAGAAAACCATGTGCAACCACCACAGAGGACACTGGGAGATTACATGACTCCTGCTGTCATTCCACCCATTGGAAGTGTGGTTCGACCTACAGTAGAGCCCAATAATTTCGAATTGAAGCCTGCACTGGTACAGTTGGTGCAGAAAGAACAGTTTGCTGGAACAAGTGCAGAGGATCCATACCTGCACATTGAAAATTTCTTGTTGTTAAGTGACACTGTGAAGATTAATGGAGTGTCCAGAGATGCCATTCTTTTGAGGCTTTTTACTCATTCACTGAAGGATGATGCCAGGAGATGGCTACAGTCACTACCACAAGGAAGTATTACAACTTGGGCAGATTCTTTTCAGCATCCAAGAGGGCAAAGTTGAAGGATGAGATTACAGGGTTCAAGCAAAAGAATTAGAGTCTATCTATGAGGCCTGGGAGAGGTTCAAGATACTCTTGAGGAAATGCCCACAACACGGGATAGAAGTGTGGAATCAAGCAGCAATCTTCCTCCAGGGGTTAACAACCACTACTAGGACATTGGTGAATGCCACAGCTGGTGGTTCATTGACAACCAAGACTCCTCAAGAAGCGCTGGACATATTTGAGTCCTTAGCATCTCAGGAGTTTGACAATGCTCCAGTGAATGACAGAAGAATGGGAATTATTAAATTGGATGGCTATGATGCTTTATTAGCCAAGAATGACCAGATGCAGCAAGTGCAGAAACAACAACAACAACAAATTGATTCTCTCACTAAGCAGCTTTCTTCTCAGAAGGTTGCTTCTGTGGACACTAATTTTGTGTGTGCCAGTTGTGAGAAAAGCCATGTTACAGATGATTGTGATTGTGGGAGACCTGCTGAACAAGCAGAAGTTAATGGAGTGTGGTATGACCATAACAACCAGAGGAATTACAACAACCAGGGGCGAAATGTGTATGTGCCACCATGGAAGAACAAGAATCAACACCCAGGGTTCAGTTATAGTTCCAACCATTAGTTGAATCCTCCACTACATCCTCCTCCAACACACTCATCACAGCCAAGTGATACTACTGCATGGGAAAAAGCTTTTGCCCAGTTATCAAAGACTACTCAAGATTACATCCAGGGGTCAAATTCTTTCAGGGAAGAGACTTCTGCTTTCATGCAGGAGACTAAGACAACATTCAGAAACCAGGAAGCAACCATCCGGAATTTGGAGACACAAATTGGTCAGTTGTCTAGGCAGATAGCTGAGAGGCCACAGGGAAAGTTCCCTGGTGATACTATGGTGAATCCAAAGGAGCACTGCAAGTCCATCATTACAAGAAGTGGGCTTCTGCTCTAACCGGTGAACAAGAAAGTGGATGAGAAGAAAGTGGGAGAAAAGAAAAGTGTGGAGGAAGTTGTTGTTGAAGATGTTGTAGTTGAAAATGATAAAGAAGAGGAAGTTGAGGAAAAGAAAAAGGAAGAAGAGGTAGTGGTTGAAAAGAGTTCTTCACCGAAGAAGTTGATGAAGTGGGAGAAGAAGATGGCTGACAAGAAGGACCAGCCAATTAACCTATCTCCTTATGCTAAAGTGCCTTATCCTCAACGGTTGAAGCAGGAAATCCAGAAGCAGCACTATGCAAGGTTTCTGGATATTTTTAAGAAGTTGCAGATTAACATTCCATTTGCTGAGGCCCTGGAGAACATGCCTCACTATGCCAAATTTACGAAGGATCTTCTGTCTAAGAAGAGGAAATTGAAGGATGGTGAGACAGTGGCTTTGACAGAAGAGTGTAGTGCCCTGATCCAAAAGAAGCTTCCACCAAAATTGAAAGATCCTGGAAGTTTCAGCATCCCTATTGCCATTGGAGATGTGGAAGTAGGGAAGGCACTTTGTGATTTGGGGGCCAGCATAAATCTGATGCCTTTGACTGTATGTAGAGCCTTGGGAATCAACACCCTGAAGGATACTAATCTTATATTGCACCTTGCTGATAGATCCATCAAAAGACCAAAAGGTGTGGTTGAAGATGTTCTGGTCAAGATGGACAAGTTTATTTTTCCAGTGGATTTT